GAATAAATTCATTACAAAAAATTATTTTACCCTTTCTAAGTATATTTTTCATTTTATATTATATTATTTTTATTATCTTTTCTTTATCTAAATAAAAATAATACTATTTATCTTAATTTTATTATTAAAATCAATTTATGATAAAAATAAAAATAAAAATAAAAATAGATTTGTAGCTATCATTTTCTAAAATAATTAATTTATAATAAAACATGTTATATTCCGTTTAAATTTTTTATCCTAGAAAAATACTTGGTACTTTCTTTTTCTTAACGTCTAGTGTAATCTTTAGGTTAATTGCGCTTCAATTCAAATATTTAGGACCTGGTTGGCATGGGCTTTGTTTTATGCTTTTGTTTTTCATTAAAACAGTGTTTTTGCTGTAGAAGTATTCTGAAGAAAAAAAATCAAAAACACGGAACGATATTTTGCTGTTAAAATTTGAGAAATAGAAACATGCAAAATATGTTTAATAGGTCATGCCTTTCGAAAATTTCGAAAACAAAACATGTTTGGTCTCAAGAATTTTGAAATTGTTTTGCAACTCTTTAAAACATAACAATTTCAACCAAACATGTTTTGGGCTTGAAATAGACTATTGTAGCATGTCTGCAACAAAACAGAACAAGTGCCAAACAGCTTCTTACTCTTTGATTAATTGCATGAAATATCTTAACTATAAGAAATTTACTAGGGGAGTAAAATGTACTAATTTTTATAATTAAAGAATAAACATAATACTAGGGTAAAGTGAAAAAAATAAAAATAATAAAATAACTCCTGAACTAAAAATTGTCTCTTGAACTATTGATTTGTTGCAATTAAGAATAAATTCATTACAAAAAATTATTTTCCCCTTTCTAAATATATTTTTCACTTCTTATTATATTATTTTTATTACCTTTTCTTTATCTAAATAAAAATAATACTATTTATCTTAATTTTATTATTAATATCAATTTATGATAAAAAATAAAAATAAAAATAGATTTGTAACTTTCATTTTATAAAATAATTAATTTATAATAAAACCTATTATATTCCGTTTAAATTTTTTATCATAGAAAAATACTTCGTACTTTCTTTTTCTTACAATATATTGATTAAAATTTAATAAATTATTTAAATAAAAAATACCTTCTTTTTCATGTAATATATTCATGGAAACTTAAAAAAATAATTAAATTGTTTTAAAAAATTAAATTAATAAATTAAAAAATTAAAGGTAACGTTATGCAAATTTAATGGAGATTGTGTTATTAAATTAGTATGATTTATTTTTCATAATTTATTTCAATAAGAAAAATATATTAATTGTAATTCAATAAGAAAGTGCATTATAGTCATTTAATGAAATATATTCTAGGCATTAGGGTATTTTGTCACAAAATGTGATAGTTCAGGAGGTATTACGAAGAAAATATAGTTCAGGGGTTATTTGCAAACACAAACATAGTTCAGAAGAGTTTTTTGCACTTTACCCTAGGGCTGCAAATGAACAGTTCAGGCTTGACTCATTAAAAACTCGGCTCGGGCTCGTTCATTTAGTAAAAAGCCAAGCTCAAACTCAATTTTTAGGCTCGTTTAGTAAACGAGCCGAGCTTGAGCAACATTGAGCTCGACTCGTTAGACTCATGAACAAGCTCGTTAAGTTAATGTCTCATTTGTATTATTATTTTAAGTTTAAAAGGTTTAGCCTATGCAAATTTAAATTTGGCCCAACTCACATAATTTTATTAATAAAGACCCAACCAGTTATAATTCATCATCCCTTGAAATTTAATACATCTCATCCGTTGATTTGTAAAGTTAAAGAGATAAAAATAATAGACCTAGAAGAAGTAAAAGCATACAGCAGCTATGGCACATCTTCTTCTTCAACTCCACTGGCCCGTCTCGCCAGCAACACTCCTCTTGTGACATAGATCAGTCTCTCTCTCGCTAACTGATCTTAAAGTAGCGCAGTTCAAAATATAAGTAGATTGAGTCTGATAAGACCTAGTAAGTGGTAATTTTTGATATCATCTTAGAAATATGTTAAACATTTTTTCTTTTACTTTTCTGTCAAAGATAGAGATCGGAAGATTTTTTTTCCGGCCAAAGATAAAGGTGAAAATCTAGAGAAGAAAACAGGTGATTTTTGCTTGTTGAATGTGTAACGATCCCGAACCGAGCCGAGCCGAGCCCAGGCTTGTTGAATCTCTACCGAGCCGAGCTTGAGCTTGGCCAGGCCAAGCTCACCCGAGCCAAGCCCGAGCACTTCTTTGGAGTTGACGAGCCGAGCTTGAGCAAGCCAAAGCTTAGCTCGGCTCGGTTCATTTGCAACCTTACTTTACCCTAATACTAGTAAGTAGTAAATAGTAAGGCCCTGTTTGGTATATGTTTTGTTTCATGTGTTTTTGTTGCAGGTCCGCTACAGTAGCCCAAAAGTGGCTCAAAGCATGTTTGGTTCGTTATGTTTTGTTTTGAACAGTTGTAAACATTTTAATAAAAAGCCCCAAAACTTGAAACACCAAAATGGTGTTTTAAGTTGTTTAAGCACTGTTTGGCCCTCTTCATGCACTGTAGCGGAGGAAGCATTTGGGCTAAACTTATAACACTCTACAAGTAGTATTAAGAGGACGCTTAAATATTTTAGGTCATTTGGCACCCCAACCTTCTTTCTCCTCCATCGATGTTCTCTGTGGCGATTTAAGGCGATTTGACTATATAGTGCTTGGGTCCTGAAAACTTCAATCAATTCAAGCTTTTTTGCTTAAAACCACCACCGATCTGAAGCTCTTTACACTTTTCTTCAAAGAATAAGCCACGTTTGACCCATTTGGTTTAACTTTGTTCGATTAAGTTCAACACGTCGACTATTTTTCAATATTTTTTTTAGTTTTTTTGTTGGAAATCCATAAATGGTGTGTAATATTCTTTGATTTTGGAATTGTTTTAAAAAAAAAAATTCAAAGTTTTACGAACATAAAACTCTTCTATATTGTTCGATTTGAGCTTATATTTGAAGGGAAACCAATATTTGTGGAAACCCTAAAATTTTCTTTCGATTTTTGGATTAATTACCACAACAGTGTTGTGTTGGAGCCTAATACTGTTCGATTTGATCTTATATTTGAAGGGGAAAACAATATTTGTAGAAATCCTAAATTTTTATTTTGGGTTTTTAGATTAATATTTGTTGTATTGGAGCTTAATATTGTTCAATTTGAAGATTTGAGATACAGCTTTCTGTTTTAAAGGAACTGTACATTATTAACTGATAATAATGAATCTTGATTTACTGTCACCTGAATTCCCTTTTCAGGAAAAGATTTGTTAAGTTGTGTGTAATCTTCTACAATAATTTTTTGTCTTTAATTAAATAAAGATACAATAATAAGTTGGAAAGTGGAGACTGCAAGTAAATTTTTGGGAAAAAAAAGAACAAATATTAAAATCTTGTGCAACATAATTTTCATGAATATTCAAACCTTCAGATTCAACAATTGATTTGATATGTCAATACCTGAAACACCAATGTTATTTACCGCAGTGGGTATGTCAAACACGTGTTGCCCATTCTTCATCTCAGACCAGCAAATTTCATGCACAATCTGTCCATTATGAGTTTTACAAACTAAAAAGCACTTAGTTGCTGCATGTGATAAGAAGTAAAGATGACACTCACTTATTCAGAACTGTTGCAATTAAAATATCTTTTGGTAGCAAGCATTACTGGAAGAGTATGCACTCATGCATCAAATAATGAATTTTTAAACATAATAAAAGACAGATTAAGCTCTAGGAAAGCTGTCTATAATATTTTAACAGCAAAGTAACAATTAGGCCCCTTGTAGTGTAATGCAACTACTTTTAACTACAAATATCTTAATCCAAAATAACAGTTTGAACTATTATGTGCATGTGTTTCTTGTAATGTAATGCAACTGCTATGTTAGGATTCAATTTGAGGTCCTTTCTAAAATTCGGAACTAAGCTTGAAAAAAATTAATCCTTTTTCAAACTTACATTACTTTATTGTTTACTGTCATATGCTATGGACAATTGGGTAATGTTTGACTTATATTCTCGGCATGTGCTCCTTGATGTGTAATGCAACTACCATGAGGGGATTCAATTTGAGGTCACCTTCAAAAATTTGGATCTGAGCTCGAAAAAAAGGTATGCGTACTTTGAAGGCTCATTTAATTTTAATGATTAATTAATATATGCGTTTGACCAGTGAAGATATACTCATTCAACTTGATTTTTTCATTTTTAGGTCCACTATATATTACAGACAAGAAAAGCTGGACTAGTGTTTTTGCGATGTGTTTTTGGTGGTAGTTAGAACAAAATTGTAATATTTGCTACCATGTATTATTTACATTTTACCTCTTGTAATAAATAATACAATTGAAGAGTTATGTATAGATATTCAAAACAAATTTATGTCAACGTTTAATAGAGGTTGGATTATTTGTTCATTATACACAAGTTGTATATTGTCATATTCTTCCGATGTTAAATGCAAATAACAAGTTTTCAAACTCTATTCGTGCAAATAAGAGTAGTACTCCAATGCCACTACCATTGTCGCATGTCAGTACTATTTTCAGTGCCATTGTCAATCAGTTTGCCATTGTTTGTTGCTACCACTTGGTTTTTCAATGTTGTTGTCATTGTCATCTACTTTATGAATATATTATTAATTTTTAGTGATAATTATATATTATTAATGTTTTATTTAAAACATTTTATGTAAAACTTAAACTTGTTTAGGCCCCGATTGGTATGTGAGTTGTTTTTACTGTTTTTATTTTTTTATTGTTACAATATCGATTTTGGTAATAAAAGCATGTTTGGTACGACCTTATTTTATTTTATATAGTGTTAAAACACTTTGTTAACGATGCCCAAAACCAAAACAAGAAATTGGTGTTTTTAAGATGATTTAGTACTGTAGCGGGCCAAACATAACTGTAGCGGCCAAAACAAAATTATACTTGTTGCAACATTTTGCCTCACGTATAAAAGCAAAAATTAAAACATTTTAGTCCATTTTGCCCTAGATTTTCTCTCTCTTCTGGCTCTGGCGATTTTGGATGCGACCGTGATATGTGAAGAAGAAACTCAGTTCATAAAAGGTGCAAGTCCTCTGAAGCCCTAGACGTTAGATTTTAATGTTTTTGTATGTCCTCTGAAGCCCTAAAAGTCCTTACAACTTACAAGTCTGCAACGATAAATCCTCTATTCTTCTCTATCTCTTCGCAAAATCTCTCTCTCTCTCACACTCACACACAAACTGGACACTAAAATGGTAGAAAGTAAAGAATCCACGTCGTCGATTGCACTGGCTCAAGGTGCCCCTGTTGAAGATGCCCAAGATCATGCCAAGTCTCCTCCTAATTCCCCCAATTCTTCCACTCGTAAGGTCAAATCTCTGTCTTTCTCTCTCTCTCTCTATATATATATATGAAATGTTCATACATTAGTTGATATGTGTTTCCCCTATATATGTTCATTCCACTGTAACTGTTAACTGTAAAACCCCAAGACTCATGGATCTACTTTGGTTTCCAATCATTGTTTAGCAACGACGATTCACCTTGTGCTATTGGATTTCCAATAAAATATTACGTGAGATGATTTATTTTACGCAATTTCACTCTTCGATGGTAGTATCGAATTTAGTTACTTCTAATTGTTCACGAAGAACGACATGGTGGTCAATTATCTTTGAATTAATGGAGTAGTTGAATGCACAAACGCAGCTAACATTTGGAAGCTTTTAGCAAAACTACAGTTTATGTGTCAATGTACAATTAGATGTGCTTAGGTTGCACAATGCTAGGTTTTGTTTAGGTATGCCATTGCGTAAAAGAATCAGTCGGATTTATGCGAACACTATGAGAGGTTACAGATGATAAATCAATGAACTGGATGTGACTGTTCCTAAATGAAGTTACAAATTATTTAGGGTGTGTTTGGATGATTGGATGTGCCCTAGAATTTGCTGGGCCCCTGACTTTCTACAGCATTTGAGATGAAGTTTAATTGCCTAGAATAGGTCATTAAGACAATTTTGGTTACCCATAAAAAAATATGAATTAAAAAACAGGGAAATTTGGATCCATTGTCATATATCTAGTATGTAATCACTTTTAGGTTTCTTTCAGCCACAAATTTTAGCAAATGATACTGATCCCATTTTATCCAGAACTCATTTTTTCTTGGTAATTGTCATTCAATGGATGAACAACTACTGAAGGTGGATGATACTAATAGTTAGATAATGTGAATCTATTGTTGACTTTAAGATATGGACAGCAATGATGACTAGTGGGACAATAATACTACGGTGAATTTAATAAACATAATGGATGGATAATCTATGCTATTTTCCAAAGTTGGGTTCCCCACCCCCCTTGTGTGTGTAAGAAGAACGCATGCATGTTTTTAGAAAATTGAGGAAAAAGATTCATTCATGCATTTGTGCACCTGTTTTTCACCCAAAAGAGAAATGAATTGTGATGTCTGATAGCATTACATTTAATTTGAGGAGTATATCGAAGGGTGTAATTGTTGACTTTAAGATATAATCAAATCAAAAGTAAGTGATAAAGAAGAAGAAGAAAAGGAAAAGAAAGTGGATGAGAGAAAAAGAGAGAGATGGGGAAAGAGAGAGAGAATGAAAAAAAGCTTTCATCCTGTTCTTTTCCTTGGGTAAGGTGTGGATGAGGGAAGGGGAAGTCCGGTCTGATGATCATGTTAATATTTGCGGCCTTTAGACCCAAAAATAACTCACATACTATCAACATGTTTTTTTTTTGTCTGTTCTACTTGTTCATACCAATTCATTTTCCCAGCTTAACATTCTCATCTGAGATATTTGTTTAATGAGTGGTGTTAGTTTTCTTTGACAAAATTAAAGTTTCCATTTAAATGCTGAGTGATAGTTTGCCATTTTAATAAGAGAGGTCAATCTTTAACAATGGGGAAGTGGCTATTGATAAAAACAAATGTTTTTCTTATTTGAGGAGACACCAGGAAGTAAAGAGTTTGTGATTCATTGGCATGGTTAGATGATCAATGTGTATTCAGAAGCATGTGGAGTGTGGCGGTCAGATGATTTATACATATTGAATCTTTCCTGCCACTTGGTGGAGTTGTTTTTAGGTGTTGATCTTCCAATGAACCTCCAGTTGGTTGATTTAATCCTTTTTGTAGAAAACCCCTCAGGAAAATTATTTTTCTTAAACTCCGGAACCTTAAGATTTTGGGTACTAGAGTCTTTAAAAATCTAAGAAGGAATATCATTGTATTGAACAAAAGAAATTGTTCAGAAGCATAGATATGGGACAGGACATGGATACAAATTACAATGTAAGTAGGATGCAGACACGTTGAAGACATGGCAAATAAGTATATGTTTTTATATAAAAATCCTATTATACGCAACAAATAAATATTCTATGATAATAAATATTCATCATCTTGAATGGATTTCATTTGAAAAATAGTATTTATCATCTTGAATAAATATGGTTCGAGCTCCTTTACTATAAATATCTTAATCCAAAATAGCAGTTTGAGCTACTATGTGCATGTGCTTCTTGTAGTGTAATGCAACTACTATGGACAATTGGGTAATGTTTAACTTGTATTCTTGACATGTGCTCCCTGATGTGTAATGCAACTACTATGATTGATTAAATTCAATTTGAGGTCATCTTCAAAAATTTGGAACTGAGCTTGAAAAAAAGGTATGCGTATTTTGAAGGCTCATTGAATTTTAATGATTGATTAATATATGCGTTTGACCAGTGGAGATATACTCATTCAACATGATTTTTTCATTTCCTGGTCCACTATACATTGCAGATAAAAAAAGTTGGACTAGTGTTTTTGAGATGTGTTTTCTGTGACAGTTAGAAGAAAATTGTAATATTTGCTACCATGGTATTATTTGCTTTTTGCCTCTTGTAATAAATAATACAATTGAAGAGTTGTGTATAGAGATTCAAAAGAGATTTATGTCAACTTTTAATATAGGTTCGATTATTTGTTCATTATACACAGGTTGTATATTGTCATATTCTTCCAATGTTATATGCAAATAACAAGTTTTTATACTCTATTCATGCAAAGAAGAGTAGTACTCCAATGCCAGTGCCATTGTCGCATGTCAGTGCTATTCCCAGTGCCATTGTTAATCAGTTTGGCCATTGTCTGTCGCTACCACTTGGTTTTCCAATGTCGTTGCCATTTTCATCTATTTTATGTAGAACTTAAACTTGTTTAATAAATTTGTTGGTTGAATATTTAAACACTTCTAAATAGTATACCCTCTATTCCACTTATGCTTGGAGTTGAGTTTGTTTTTATTTTTAATGTTGTGTTGAACTATACAGGTAATAGGATAACAAAATTGAAGCAGGTTATTGCAAACAACTTGCAAAATAGGTTATTGCAAAAATTAAAATATATTTCTATATATATATAAGTTTGCGTGTTCAAATTTCTCCATATCTATTTAAAATATGATGACTATTTATATAAAAATAAATTTATATATATACTTAAAATTTATAAAAACAAATTAAAAACAATGATAACCAAACATGTTTTTTGTTTCTATTTTTATTTTTTATTTTTATTATTTATTTTTTCTTGCAAGAGTTGGAGTGACCAAACATGTTTTGTTTTTAAAATTCTTGAAACGCATTGCCTACCAAAGATGTTTTGCATGTTTCTGTTTCTGACATGTCCACAGCAAAATATCGTTCCCAAACGTGCTTCCGATTTTTTTTTCAAAACACTCCTACAGCAAAAACACTATTTCTGTTTTAACCACAAACAAAACACCTAAAACAAAACGCATGCAAACGGACCCTTAATAAAGTTGTTAGTTGAATATTTAAACACTTATAAATGGTATGCCCTTTATTCCACTTATGCTTGCAGTTGGCTTTGTTTATTTTTACTGTTGTGTTGAACTATATAGGTAATAGGATAACAACATTAAAACAGGTTATTGCAAACAACTTGTAAATAGGTTATTGCAAAACTTAAAGAATATATATATATATATGTTTGCGTGTTCAAATTTTTCTATATCTATTAAAAATGCGATGACTATTTATATAGAAATAAAATTTATAAATATACTTAAAATTTATAAAAACAAATTAAAAACAATGATTACCAAACATGTTTATATATATATATATATATATATATATATATATATATATATATTGGCAATACTTGGAGTGACCAAAAATGTTTTGTTTTCAAAATTCTTGAAACGCACAACCTACCAAACATGTTTTACATGTTTCTGTTTTTGACATTTTCACAGTAAAACATCATTCCCAAACGTGCTTCCGATTTTTTTCCCAAAAACACTCCTACAGCAAAAATACTGTTTCTGTTTTAGCCAAAAGCAAAAATAAAGCGCATGCTAAATGGGCCCTAATATTTCAACTTTTTCATGACTACCTAATTTTTTTAAAAAAAAATTAAAATTTCCTATCCAGAAATAAATAAAAGCAAAATTTTTATTGTTTTAAAAAGTTAACATGATCTAGAACTGAGTCGAGCCCGAGCTCGTTGAATCTCTACCGAGCCGAGCTCGAGCTAAGCCTGGCCAAACTCGCACTAGCCAAGCCCGAGCACTTCTCTGGAGTTGACGAGCCGAGCCTGAGCAAGCCATAACTTAGTTCAGTTCATTTGCAGTTCTACTTTACCCTAATTAGTAAGTAATAAATAGTAACATTTTAACTTTTTCATGACTACCTAATTTTTTCAAAAAATTAAAATTTCCTATCCAGAAATAAATAAAAGCAAAATATCAAATTTTTAGTGGGCTTACATAACCAAAGTCGTCTGAGCAGTCAAAACACAAATTTGGAGACACATTCAAGACAAATGCAAATTTCATTCCCAAATTTGTAAGTGGCACATTCTAGTTCTATGGATTAGCAATCGATGGAAGTCCAATTTTGCACCAAACCTGTTTCAGAAAGTATGTCTCTCATATGTTGTCTATCACATATGGGAAGAAAGAAACAATCGAATCTTTGGATGGAAAAAATGTTCACATAGGGTTCTTTTGAAAAAAATTTGCTCCACCATTACCTCCATTCACAAGCTTGGCTTCTTGAAAGACCGTGCTACTGCAAGGCAACCTAAGTGACTGGAACCTCCCTCCGTCCTCCTCCAAGACCACTGGACTGAATATTCAGAATATTTGGAATCCTTACACAATAGGGTTGATTATCGAAATTGATGAACATATAACCTCCATTTATAAATTTTATATTAGCGGTTAATTTAGGTTATTAGTTTGGGTTTGCGGCTGGGGCTCTTGTTTTTTGATTCTCTAGTTAGCCATTTGGGCTTTGTTTCCCGATAACTGGACTGTCTGTTTGGCCAAAGGCCCACAATGTATGAGCCCAAAGGCCCACCATGTAATTATTTTTCACTTGTTTAACTCCTCGAAGAAAAATAATAATAATAACAAAGAAGATATACGATTTATAAAAAGGAGAGTGACTCAATCAACAAAAAAAATAAAAGAATCACAAACAAGATTAAAATTGCTTAAAAGGTAATTTTTTTCTTAGTAAATATGGACTAATATCATAATTAACAATTTATTTAGCTAACATTTTTTTTATTTTTTTATATTTTTTTATATTATATATATGTATGACATCCGGACAATGTAATAAAACTACATTTAAGAGAATAATGTGTCTTCTTCACTAATTACAAATGAAAAATTCACCGGATAATAGAACAATATCTCAACAGTATGAAAATATGATATTAAGAATACAAAATTACAACAATAATGAAATTTGTGTAATTATCACTAAAATTTTCTTCAAAGTTTTTTTCGGAGAATAAATTTTCTTCAAAGTTGTAATGGTAATTGAAAGCTTAATTGAGTTGGAGGATGGTTCAAAGTATATAATTGAATCTAAATTTAGGTATTGAAAAGCTCACTTGGGTGACGACTTCAATTTCTAAGTTGGTGAGCATCTCAAATGAATATTTGTCGTTTGGTATGAAAAAAACATTTATGATATAATTTTTATTATGATAAGTATTACAGATTTATTTACCTTCTCAATGTTGCAAGAACATTTCATTTCATAGCGAAAGTTAGTAGACGAGCAGTACCAGTGGAATAAAATCAACCGTTGGATATAGGGCATGATCTGAAAGTCCGAAACTTTCGGTATATGCAAAGTACTGAAGTAAATATACACCCGTGCTTGCCATGGTCTGGTCACACCAAAGACCCACTTCACACCTAGACCATCAACCAAACGGTGCAGGACAGCAACTCTTCAAAAAACCTAAGGCTATGTTTGGTATGGTGGCTTTAAAAGAAAATGATAACATTAGTTATGAAGGAAAGGAAAGGGGAGGATAATAATTATGTTTGGAAAAAAAAAGGGAAGGGAATTATTTTAATAAATTGACTATTATACCCTTTTATATTTTAAAATACACATATATATATAAATTGACTATTATACCCTTTTATATTTTAAAATATATATATATATATATATAGTCTCATGTACTGACCACTAGAAAAGAAAAAAAAAAATAAGGCAAATCATTTCAGCCTCCCCCCATCTCGCCTGCATCTCTATTTTATATGTGTGTGTGTGTATATATAGTCTTTAACTTCAAACCACAATAAAAGAAAAAAAATAGGGCAAATCATCAGCCTCCCCAATCTCGCTCCATCTCTATTATCCTTCTTAACACTGAACTCGCCCTCTCTCTCTCTCTCTCTCTCTCTCTCTGTGCACTACAAGAATCACAAATTCAAAACCCATATATTTTCAGTTTATCTCTGTTTGCAAGAATCAAAACTTCAAAACCCATATCGGTATCATTTCAGATTGTTCAAAAAATCAAAACCCATATCAATTTCCATCACCCGCTGCTGTTCGAATTCGGATTCGCCGTTCGCAAGCAAGCTTTGCCATTCTCAACTCTCTGCATCTGCAACTGCTACTCAAGGGAAAAATTGGCATCTGAAATCACACACAAGCCTTTCTTTCCCTTTCCTTTCATTTCCTCCCATTTTTGAGAGGTTAAGAAATTCACTGTTGAAGGCACAAGTTAACCCTCCAAACCCTTCCCTTTCCTTCCAACAATTTTTGCCAAGCACAAATTTTTAATCCCCCTCCATCACCTTTCCTTCCCTTTCCCCCCATTTCCACTCTACCAAACTGACCCTAAGGCTATGTTTGGTGCGATGAGTTTGACAGAAAATGATAACATTAATTTTGAAGGAAAGGGAATGGAAGGATAATTTTAACCCCTTATTATGTTTGGTTGATAATCATGTTAGGATGGAAAAGAAAGGAAAAAAAAAAATATTTTTTAATAAAATTACTATTATACCCTTTAATATTTTAAAAGATATATATATATATATATATATATAAATTACTAATATATATATATATACACACACTAGAAAAATCAACGTGCCATGCACGTGATGAGAAATGATTATTGATTTTTTTCCTTCCAGAAATTGCTTTAGAGTCTTTTTGCAGTATAATGAAGAAGTTGACAAAAAAAAAAATGTATATCTAACATATTAATATTAATAAACATGTTTATGTTGTGTTAAATACTTAATCAAGTGATTTAATAATTAGAGATATATTGAGTAGACTTATTGTGAAAAATACGGTATAAGAAAAAAAAAAAAAAAAAGATTAATAAATTAGACTCAATTAAAATACGAAAATTACACTACTATAACTCCTCTCCAAATTAAGAAGAAGAGAATAAATCATCAATAATGACATCAAGGAGCCATGATTCCCATGAAGCTCTTATCTAACTAACTCGTGTCCCACTCTATTGTATAATCTGGGACACCAAACTGGCTAAAGACAAAATTAACGTTCAACTGAAATTTTATGTCTTCAACAACAATGAATCAGATGTCTTAAGGGTAACTCCTCTCTTTTCTATCACCTTTGGAATAAACCGACTAATAATTAAAAATTATTATTATTAATTTTTTAAAAAGAAATGCTATCAAACTCAAACCACAAATTCTATTACAAACTTTAGATAATAAAGTTAAAAAGTATCTCCATAAAAACCAGAAAACTTGAATTACTTAGTCTAAAAGTCTTTGATATAATTATGTACATCAGTGGATTATGATGCAAGGTGTGCCGGCTAATTGTCAAGAACCTAAACACACGTCTGAGATCCTCCTAATTATATGCATGTGAATCTAACTCTTTAGTCATATCTAAATCTATGTCACTTCACACTTGCATGCTGGGTATGAGAATTTTCTTTTCTTCTCTTTTCCATAATCCAATTTTTTGTTAGAAGATGTGTTAATTTGAATGTGAATGCAATTCCTTAATTGTTAAAACTTGGTATAAAACTTAGATGGTGTGGATTTTTTTCATTTATTATAATTAACTACACATGCCATGTCCAAAATTGTAAAATATGCAAACAATTTATATATATGGATAAAAATGGCACAACTGTTTACTTTGATAATGAAAGATATATTAGTGAATTTGTTATATCTACTATCATTTATTTTTATTGAAAAACAAAATTTCAATTCTAATTTCATTAGAGATGTGATTTAACTTAATTACGTAACCATCAATGTGAAGAACAAAGGAAAATAGGAAATTTGTTTAAAGGTATTTGAATTTAAAGCTAATTCTTTGTCAACAATCTATCCGGTTTTAGAAAATATTAGTAATTTGTTTAGTTTAGAAGGGTGTTAAAATGTATATAATGCTTTGTTAAGTCCAATAGAAAGAGATATATATGTATGTGTATATATATATATATTCATCCAAAAAAAAAAAAAAAAGATGTAATAATATTAATTTGGATTAGGAAGAGACTTAAAATGATAGGACGAATATTCAAATGTTAAAATTTTTAAACACCAAGGAAACCAATATATATATATTTATATATATATATATATATATATACATGATAGTAAAAGAAAAAGAAAAAAAACCTGAAACTCATTGGATGCATCATTGAGGCCATCATCCATATACAGTGTTACATAACCCTAAAATTACAAAAATTTAGTTCAAGAAGGAAGACAGAGTTAAAGTTTCACGTGAAGATTTCCAATAGTACTTTTGTGAAAGAGGTCAAAGATCGGATAATGTTAAATAGTGACGATAGTGGTGTCATTGTATTTTACCCAAAAAAAAAAAAAAAAAAAAAAAAACTCACGCTCTCTCTCATCTATGTGTGGCTCTTTTTATTTATTTTTTTCTTTCTTTATTTTCTGAATGATTTCTACAACTCTTTATCAACAAGATTCAATCAACAACCAAATTGATAAGTCATTGCTCCCAAACTTCTCTTCTTTGTTAACAATCATCTCCGGACCTCGTTCTGTCTTTCTTCTATTTCAATATTTTCGTGCCAAAACTTCCTATTGAATTAGTCCTTTCCTAACTTATATATATCCTTAGCACAATCAATTGATGTGCAACTTTTGTCGTTCATTTGTGTCCCTTAAAAAAGGGAAGCCATGAAAATATGTGTTCCTTGAAAAAAAGAAGCAATGTGCAGTTAAGATCAATATAATGAAACGTTGCGTGTTTCTAAATTAAATTATTAATAACAAAAATTTAGTCCAAAAGGTATTAATTCACTGTTTTATTTGAAATAAAAAGTAATATAAAATTGTTAAAAATATATATAAATAATAATTAATGTTTAAATTTCATATCAGATTTCCTATCTTTATAATAGAACCAATAGATATGAAAGTTTTGTCAAAGATTGTGTCCCTTGATAAAAGATGAAAATGGTACGTGAAAACTATTTAAAAATATTTTTTAATTAAAATAAGTATTTTAAAATGTATATAAATATTATATATTGAATCCACTTTTATTAGTAGTCTAGATATTGTCTCCTGCTAAGGCCCAAGGCTGATGGGCCACCAGAAAAGAAAGAAAATCATTTCAGCCTCACCCTGAACCGCCTGCATCTCTATTCTCGTTGTCGACTCTGAACTTGCCCTCTCTCTCTCTCTCTCTGCAACTGCAAACTACACGAATCAGAAGTTCAAAACCCATATATTTCAGTTTATATATCTGTCTGGCACGAATCAAAAGTTCAAAACCTATATCGGCATATCATTTCAGATTGTTCAAAAAATCAAAACCATATCTTTCAGTTTCCATCGCCCGCTGTTCGTCGCCGTTCGCAAGCTAAATTTTCGAAGATGAAGAAGACCCAAAACCACATCTAGGAAATAAGGTTAGAATCACTCTCTATCAACGTAAATAATGTTAAGAAGAAGACTATCTTCCTTGCTAGCAACTTCGATTCACAATGCTTCCATTTACAATACCAAACCCAGCTCGATCGTCTCAAGGGCTGTCTCATCACCACGTTTGCCTTCACCGTTGGTAGAAAACGCTAACCCTAATCCCAATTTCATCAATGGCAGTGGGGTGTTTGCTCCTCGGGGTATAAGGGCTTATAGCCTTCTGAGTCTGAACGATTTGCAAGATAACAAGGGGGCAAGTAAGCAGAAGACGAGGAAGGGTCGTGGGATTGGGTCTGGGAAAGGCAAGACTGCTGGAAGAGGTCACAAGGGGCAGAAGGCCAGAGGCACCATGAAGTTTGGCTTCGAAGGCGGCCAGACTCCAATGCGTCGACGAATGCCGAAAAGGGGGTTTAAGAATCCCTTTACTCTCCATTTTCAGGTTTATTTGTTTGATCATTTATGGGTTTGCCTAGTTTTAGTTTTGTTTTTTTTCATAATTGGGTTTTGTATAAAAAGAAAAAATAAATATACACAGGCGCACAGAGGGCATACCCTCAGAATTTTACTGGAAAGAACAAGATCTTAAAGAAAAACAATTCCAGAAAATAAAAGAAAAACAATAAAATGTTAATTAAATAATGTCTCTAATTGGGACATTATACACATCTAAGACTTCGAATAAAATTTGCCTAGCCACCTCTGTAGTAGAACTAGAGCCATGTCCATGCAATCTTCGGTTTCTTTCTTTCCATATACTCCAACAGCCAGCAACAAGCATGGTATGATATAAATTACTGGTCTGTTGTAAACACCACATCAGCATATCATCCATTGTAAAAATTGAGTTAAGGTCCAGTCCCCAGCCGAGAGTATCCTTTAACCAGCCCCAAAAATTTCTAGCAAATGGGCAAAGAACAAACACATGATCCCTGGTATCAATATGTTGTAAGCAGTTTGAGCAGCGAGGAGCCAACGACACTTTCCGCTTCTGCAAATTATACATTGAAGGCAATCTGTCTTGAAATAGAAAAACTCCATGCAGAGACCAACGAGGTCTTGCTTTCCCCCAGCAAACTTTGGACCATATAACCTCAGTACATATAGTTCTACAGCCTTGCCAAGCTTTTTTGAAAGCAAAGGCACCACCATCCCAAAGTAAATTATCTGGTCTATCATGGATAGGTAGAAGTGACAAGTAGTCTTTAATAGGCCTGAAGGTTTCATCCTGCAAAAGAGCAAAGTTCCATCCTCCATCTATAATTAAACTGGACAAAAGAGAAGACCATGAGAACCCCAGTCTTCTAACCAATCTATGTCCAAATTTCTGAAGTAGTGTTTCCCCTTCACACCAAGGGTCAGTCAAGACCTTGAAACGATGCCCAGACCCAATTGAAAATTGAATATTCTTCAGCATTAAATCTCTAACATTAAGCAAATTTTTCCACAGAATGAATGATTGGACTTTGGAACAGCATTCCAATATGTAGATCTAGTTGCATACCTGTTTTGAAACCAGGGGACCCATAATCTATCTTTACTCAACAAGAAATCCCAAGCGAGAACGCAGTGAGAGGCAACCTGGAGATCCTTCAATTTTCTGATACCTAACCCTCCCTCTGTTTTTGTTATACACATCATATCCCAGCTTAGAAGATGCATTTTCTTCAAATTATCTCTACTACCCCATATGAAATCTCTACACATCTTCTGAATTTGATTGATGATAGCAATAGGCAAGTGGAAGACACTGCACTAGTACAAAAAGATAGGAGTGATAACAGTTTTAATCAATTCCGTTTTGCCTGCAATTGACAACAACTTGGTGCTCCAATCTTTAAGCTTCTGTGAAATTTTATCCATAAGAACATTGCAATGATGTCTTTTTAAACCAGTTGCACACAAAGGCATACCCAAATATTTTAAGGGAAGATGCTCTTCTACGTCTGACAGTTTTAGAGAAGATCACACGACTCTTTGGATAACTGATATTAAGGCCCGATGCATACCAAAATGTTTAAAAATTCTTTGAAGGATTCTGGCATTAGAGATTGATGCTTTACAGGAGATTAGGAGATCATCTGCAAAAAAGGTATGACAACAAATTGGAATTTGCTTTCAGGGCAGTGTTAGACAGAACAAGTCTCCCACTTAAAACTTCTGTGTTAATAAGATGGGTGAGTTGATCAGCTACCAGAGTAAACAGAAGAGGGGAGAGGGGGCAACCCTGCCTTAAACCCTTGGAGGGTTGAATAAAACCCGTGGGAGAACCATTTAATAAAACAGAATATCTTGTGGAGCTCAAAAGACTTTTAATCCATTTCACCCAATTAGAACTAAATCCAGAGACTTCCAAAATCTTCAGAAGAATATTCCAAGAAACTGAGTCAAATGCCTTAGAAATATCAGCTTTCAAGGCCATGATTGGATGCTTAGAACTAAATTCAGTCACCATTTCGTGCCCCATAATAATTGAATCCTGAATTTTTCTGCCTTTAATGAAGGCACTTTGCGCTAATCCCACTAGACTAGGAAGAACCAAAGATAGTCTTGAAGCAAGGATTTTTGAAATGATTTTATAAATGAGATTGCACAAAGCAATTGGCCTGAAATCTTTGGGTTTAACAGCAGAACCAGTTTTAGGAATTAAGGTGAGGAAAGAACTACTCACCCCAATAGGAAGAGAACCTTCAATAAAAAAATGTTGAACTGCTGCACATACCTCAGGATGAACAATAAACCAGAAGGATTGATAAAACCTAGCTGGAAATCCATCAGGACCAGGGGCTGAAATTCATCACAACAGCTTTAATCTCTTCTTGAGTAATAGGGGAATCCAGAATGAGCTTATCTTCAGAAGATAGAGCATGCCTTGGATGAACTTCGAAGGAAGTATCAACTGTATTCTCTTGAAAAAGACCTTGATAATAATCAACAAAAGCCGTTTTAATCTCTTCTGTATCATTTGTAACTTGACCGTTTTCATTTTCCACAGAAGCGATTGCATTAAACTGATTATGCTGCTTCATCTTTGAGTAGAAGTAAGCTGTACATCTGTCAGTGTCCTTGAGCCAGAGAACTCTGGACTTTTGAGCATATAATATCTCCTGAGAAGACAATGCATCTTGATAAACTTCCTTAGCTTGAATGTCTTTTTCAAACAAATCATTTATAGGATTATTCAGAAGTTCCATCTGTAAATCCTCCAAAGCTTGTTTTGAATTTGAGACCCTCCCTTCAATATCTCCAAATGAATTCTTATTCCAAATTTTGACAGCGGCTTTAACATTTCTGAGTTTTTTCAGAAGTATATGAATTGGAGTACCAACTGCAGGTTCATCCCAGGCTGTCTTAATCAACTCAGAAATATCTTCATGCAAACACCATACTTCAAGCATTTTGAAGGGCTTTGGACCACTTGCAAATTGCCTAAAAATGTTTATAACAACTCCATAATGGTCTGAAGATGATGAAGCTGAATAAGACATTTTAGTACCAGTGAACAATTGCATCCAATCATCGTTAATAAATACCCTATCAAGCTTTGCCAATATCCTTCTATCACTGCCTTGACAATTACACCATGACCAATCCCCATTGGTAGAAAAGATTTCTGTCAAGCCAGTATGCTGCAAACAATCATTAAATTCATCAAGAAGCTTTTGAGGGACCCTTCGACCTCCTTGCTTATCTGAGTGAAATCTGGTGGCATTCCAGTCCCCAACAACCAGCCATGGACCAGTAACAATTGAAGACTGAGTATTCAATTGGTCCCATAGTTTTCTTCTTCCAGCAACTGAATTAGAGGCATACACAGCAGTACAATAAACCACCTCACCAGTTTGAACAATATTCACCTTGAGGAGCAAGCACTGATCCATCTCATTCACCACAGTGACATTAAAAAGCAATGGATCCCAACCAATCCATAATCTACCCGAATCATGAGAGTTATAGTTATGAGTCCACCTCCATTTCCTATTGATTTTCTTTGAGATAACATCAAACTTAGATAATCTAACCCTTGTTTCTTGTAAGCAGACAAGATGAGCGTCATTGGATTTGATCCACTGACGGACCTCTCTTTGTCTTCTGGGCTTATTCAAGCCCCTCACATTCCAAGATGTGATCATTGAGAGGGGGGAGGAAAGGGAGCACCCCCTTGACTTCTAGTCACTCTATGAGAAGCCAACGAACCTATATTCTTCTTCTTAACATTGATCTTTTCTGTGATATTGGAAGAGTTGGCAGGTGTAACTTTGGTAATATCCTTTTTGATACTGGAAGAGATGGCAGGTGTAACGTTAGTAATATCCTTTTTGATACTGGTATTCACAGGAACCCCAATGGATATTACTTGTGAACTTAAATCATTTTTAGTTTTGTGCTATTTGTTTGTTTGTTTGTTTTTTTTTGTTTTTTGGATTAATTTAGTGTGGAAATAATGATCAATGGTTGGTTATCTAAGTCGGATCATACAGACTCAATTTTCTTGTTTGTTTGTTTGATCATTTCTGGGTTTGCCTAGTTGATTAATTTTGTGCTATTTAGATTTTATTTTTTATTTTTTTTGTGTGTGGAAATGATCAATACTTGTTATCTAAGTCGGATCATACTGACATTTTGTGCTCTTGATATATTTTAGTTTCTGTGGATCTAGTATGTCTAGGACCTTCTGTTTTTATTTTGTTTATGAGTCTGGGTATACACAGTTTGGATACATGGATTAAGGTTTCTAGATATAAGAGTCAGGAATTGGAAGTGTGCATTAGATACGTGGGTTTGATTTGGGACAATGGTTTTTCTACTTCTTTTAATTATGTTATTTGCTGGTACGAGCGAGCATGAGATGAGTCAAGTTCGAGCTCAGCTGAACAAGGAAGCCAAGTTTGAACAAGGTTAACTAAGCTCACCTTGACCTTGATCCAAGTCTGAACACCATCTCACCTTGACCTAGCTGATTTCGAAAACCAGATACTAAACTCTATTTGGTTCATTTGCACATTTGTCGGCTTTGGGGATTTCTCATATGTGAAATTATCTATTGGAGTTGGGTTCACTGTTCCATCTGAACTTTTGGAACAACTGAATGGGTTATCAGTTGCTCGTGATCTATGCTGATTCTTTTTACAGCCTTTTTTTTTTTTTTTTCGCTCATAAGAGGCCAATGAATGTATAAACTTAGTGAAAATCGCATGGATGATTGCCAGTCTAATTTGCATCACTTGGATGTGTCACCTGGGAGATTAAAATCCTCCACAGCCTTTATATGCAGGGACTCTTACTGATACAATGACTATCTTGCCAACTGTTGTAATCTTATAGGCATATTACCTTTTATTTGTATTATCGATCCTGCAACAACATTTGTCTGCTTTTAATACATTCGCGTAGGAGTTTTGGCTCCAATTTTTATGTCTTGCTTGTCTGTTCTTAAACCAATTATTATCAACCATCATAAAAGGGGATTTTGGTACATTTTTTGTTATATCCTTTTGATATAGGATATTGCAATGTTTACTTTTAAGGGAGAATTAAGAGCTATGGTTGAGATTTATTAGAAATTCCTGCTTTCAATTCAAAGATTCAAGAAAATATTTTGTGTTCATGTCTTTCTATTTGTAGGAGGATTTTGGTTGTTACTTTCATTGAGTTCACTCATTGTTGTGGCAGCCAGTGGGACTAGGGAAGATTGCTAAATTTATCAATGCAGGGAAGATAGACTCTTCAGAGTTGATCACCATGAAAACTCTCAAGGTACTTACTTTCTTATCTGGATAATTCCCTTCACTCTTCAATCATATGCTTTTGTTAATAACCAATGTTATTGTTTTCCTTATAGGATACAGGGGCAATAGGGAAGCAAATTAAAGATGGAGTAAGATTGATGGGACGCGGTGCCGAAGAGATAAAATGGCCTATTCATCTTGAGGTAAGCCTAATTTATGTCTTTCTGCATGTTGTTTCTGAATTCTGATTCTTAATTTAACCCAAATAACTTCCTTTCATGTAGTTTTGTCTTATTTCTAGTTTGTTTGTTTCCTTCATTTTCCCTCCCTAATACCGGATTTAGTGGTATGAGATGACATTGCCTGAAATAATGAGATTTTTTTTGGGCAGTTTTTTCTTGTTCCTTGTCTAATGGGGATAAAAAGTTTCTGCTATGCAGAACAAGTTGATATTGTCAAACTCTGAGTCACATGGACTCGGGTACATGCATAGGACATGGGTATGTGCCCAAGCATCAGATTTATCATATTGCTTAGTTTATTAGAATTATTTAGACACTGGAACAGTGTTAAATATTCCAAATTCATATTATTAGTATATTTTCTTTTGTTTTTTGGAGTAAAATAATGCTTTTTGACAACATAGTGAATATACAGATTTCACTATTTTTAAAGCAATAATGCATTAAAATTAAATTATTGGATTTGCTTTTTAGATGCATGGATTACCAAACATGTCAAACACATTTTTCATACCCTTGCCGAAGTGTCATGTGTCCGATACAAGTATACTTTTGAAGGGTACAGAGAGTTCAAGATATTTTGTGATTTTTAATTCAAAGTATAAATGTAATAAAAATAAATAAATCCCCCTCAGGGGAGGTGGGGTGGGATGTTCAGATTCTGTGTACATAAGTGTACAAGAACAACTAGCTAAGCTCCCTCTATACAACACGATAGTTCCTAAAAACAATATATCATCCCTACATATATATTTTTTCTCTCTCTCTCTCCTAAAAACAATATATCATCCCTATATATATATTTTTTCTCTTTCTTTCTCTCTCTACTGTATGTTGTAAATGATCTAGGATATTCAAGTTATATTATTGTATATACAGTACACACACAAACAATATATCATCCTTCAATTTCTACCTTTAATTTTTTCCTCCTTGCACTGTGCCTCATTTTTTGTTTCAACCCTCAGTGTTGAATCATCCCTATATATATATTTTTTCTCTCTCTTTCTCTCTCTACTGTATGTTGTAAATGATCTAGGATATTCAAGTTATATTATTGTATATACAGTACACACACAAACAATATATCATCCTTTAATTTTTACCTTTAATTTTTTCCTCCTTGCACTGTGCCTCATTTTTTGTTTCAACCCTCAGTGTTGAATCATCCCTATATATATATATTTTTTTTCTCTCTCTCTCTCTACTGTATGTTGTAAATGATCTAGGATATTCAAGTTATGTTATTGTATATACAGTACACACACAAACAATATATCATCCTTTAGTTTCTACCTTTAATTTTTTTTTTTGTTTCAACCCTCAGTGTTGAATCATCCCTATATATATTTATTTTTTTTCTCTCTCTCTCTCTCTACTGTATGTTGTAAATGATCTAGAATATTCAAGTTATGTTATTGTATATACAGTACACACACAAACAATATATCATCCTTTAATTTCTACCTTTAATTTTTTCCTCCTTGCACTATGCCTCATTTTTTGTTTCAACCCTCAGTGTTGAATCAAACCTCTCAGATCAATCCATAAAATGGTTGTGAACCACTCATCCAAGAAATTCGGTCCAGCTTGAGAGAAGAAAAAAAATGTAGCAAAATTCAAAAAAACGGGAACAGAAAATAAACATCAAGAAAACGGAATAAAAACAGGGTCCGCTTATCAGGTAAAAGTGTGAACCCTTTTAGCTCTCTTAGGATCAATCAGATTGAGTGCCTATGATGTCCACCACTCGTCTCCATTGTTGGCTTTGTGCCACATTTCTCTGACTCACTGCCGTCTGCGGTGGAGGCACAGTAAAGGCTTTCAAAGAAGTTGGCATTGATGCCATTGACGGAAAAGCTCTTGAAGTGGCCAATGGGAGCCACTAGCTTTGCTTTGGGCTTGTACTTGTTGCCGCCAGTCGGAATCAACGGTCATGGTGGGGAGGTTAGCGGTGTTGGAGTAGAGAGGGGGAGAGAGAGGATTTTCCGCAAGTGGGTCATTTAGGGCAAGCCAAACGATGTCATCAGGCTTCTACTTTTTTCCCTTTCATAATCTCTATATATTTTTTTTGTCAACTATGAGAAGGGTATTTAAGTCTTTTCAAACTTCCATTAACAAAAATGTCTTCCATGCATTGTTATTTTTACAACTATGAGAAGGGTTTTTGTCCCCCTTTAATACTTGGTTACTAATTATGTTAGATTAGCTTGCTAATTATCTTCCCTGCGTTGTTATTTTGTGCACCTTTTGTCAAAATGTCTATTTCATGTATTGTTATAAGGTTCATGTGTATTGCGGTATAGTATGTGTTTTTTTTTTTTCCCATATATATGTAGTGTTACAGTGTTGCTTTTTATAAAAATAACTCAATATTGTAGGAGAAAATTAGTTTCAGAGTCTTTAGTTGTGCTTTTTACTAGTTAGAATTGTTTGTTGTTATTTGGTGACTTATTCTATATCCTTACTCCTTAATTTCACCCTAGTGTAATTTTGTTAATTCAGTTAATTTATTTTGCCCATCTTCATTCATCAAGGGTTCACGTTATTTTTTCAAGCGTGTTATTTATTTTTGCCTTTTGCGTCGTATTTCCCATCAGTTCTCTTTCCAATCCGCCCAAATGAATTTTTTATCCTGGCTAAATGCCATCTCAAAGCATTCTGATTTTTCACATACACACAAGATCCCCCCACCCAGTTAGAGGGTGCAAACTAAGTCCTGTCAATATTTGAACTCTTTTTCCATTTCTCCAAAGGAAAATTCCTCAAGTTTCGCAAGTCCTTTGGCAAAAGAGGCCAGAATGGTGAATATGAAGTAGGGGGAGCTTGAGAGGGTATTCTTGATAAGATTTAAGTTTGCCCCTTCTCCACAGGTATTGTTGGCGTATTCTCTCTTCCACCCTGTCAATCTCTTCTGAAACATCTCTACCACCTAGTCTCACGAGGAAGTTGCCTTAAAGAGGTGCCAAGGAGAACCCCAAGAGTGAACTGGGAAGAGATTGCCAACTTGTGTCCCAAGTTCCAAGTTGAACCATGTCTCTTACCATCCGATTCATCCAAATGTGGATGGTTTTGCTCTTCTCTAGGTTCCACATTGAATGTAAAGCAGGGTGTGCCGCCTTGTCTCTAAATCCCCGAACTCTTGTATCTATCATCTGCAAGTAAAAAGGTAGGAAACTACGGTAGAGCCTTGTACTATGCCAGCATCAAACCCATCTAAGAAGCCACTATATTAGGCCTAGTCATTCTGCTGAGGTCCCTATCATCATGATCACAATTGGAGTGGATCCCTTGCCTTAATGACCATCGAACTGTCAAAGAAACCTGCTGGGAATCCAGTGATCGGGTTAGAAATGTGAGCAGTCTAGATACACTCTCTGGTCCTTATTCTCCATGTAGCAAACACACAGAATCCCAATTCGCATAATCTTACGTCTTCTTAATGTCAGGTTTGGAAATTGGGCTGGCTATCTACCACTCAATTTGAGCAAGTCCTAACCAGCATATTACAAGCACTCTTTACCAAACTAATGGACCTAAAAACCTTCAAATTCAATGCTCCTCCCTCTATTGAAACATGGCAATGAAGGAAGCACCCGACCTGTGTTTGAAGTCATCTACTGGATGAAACTAGTTAGTTCTTCTATATAAATTGGGTGTAATCTTAGGAGTCCATTTATCCGTGGTTTTACAACTGGAATTTGTGATTGTGAACTTGTTGACACTAATTTTATCTCACAATCTTTAATGTAGTTCAAAAGCATGTAACATGACTCACTTTCTAATGCAACATAGAACTGTGGACATAACACAAATTCTGATCAACAACCCGAAGAATTCTTCTTTATTTCTTACCAACTTGGTCCTCCACTAGTTCAATGATCGACAAATGAATTAAATTTTAAGATCACGCAAGACATAGTCAGCTAATAATGAAGGGATGAGCAGAACTGAAGGTAATGTAGGTTTCCCAGACTCAAAACTCTAATTTAATTATGTAGTTCTATCCACCCACTATATATTTAAGGGGTCATTGCATGGTTCAGGGATGAATGTTCAGACAACCAATCGTAAGGACGCAGGTTCAAGTTATGTATTAGGTTAAAGGTTAGAACTATTCGCTCCTCCTAACACCTTAATTTATGGATACCACGGATACTACTGCTTCTGATTAAGGTCTTGCATTCATCCAATATTCTACCATAGAGTGGACGCTGGCTGGAATCAGGTTTGCTTGACGGACCATGCAGATCTGATCAATCCTTAAGAATGTTTTTACATGAGGATTACAGAGTCATCAAATGATGTTGTTATCACCTTAGAATTCCATGAACCATCCCTATATCAAAACCTAATGCATTGCCTTAAGTCAACCAGAGGAGTCCAGCACTTCAGGCGATATCAAAATTTAAATAATAGAAGTGTTCAAATACCTCAGCAACGCTCCCAACAGGCTTCCACTGGAATTCAATGACAGCATCACCTGCATTAAATCCAGCTATATCCAGGAGTTACCTGGTCAAAAATTTGAAATACTTTCAAACATGAGAAGCATGCATTTTTTAATAAATAGAGGTCCACAATTGTACATGTGGATAATTATACAACTCACTCTCTCATGCAACGTAGAACTGTACTTACACCTAGAGGTTACAGGTTTCGAGGGTGACTGTCAGGGCAAAGGCAGCAGTTGAAGCCGCGGGTGGGTCTGTCAGGAGAGTGTACTACAACAAGTTAGGCTTTCGGGCATTGCTGAAGCCTGAGTGGTTTGAAAAGAAGGGAAGGTTGCTGCCAAGAGCAGCTAGACCTCCCCCGAAACTGAAAGATAAAGTGGATAGCATTGGGCGCCTGCCAGCACCAACCAAGCCAATTCCATTTTCACCAGAAGAAGAAGATGCAATGCCTGTTTCCGCCTGATGACCAAGAAAATTTTTGTTCCAGATTTTGTAAAACATTCATAAATTTCCGATATGTTTTGGATGTTAATTTATGTGGTGACATTTTATGTGGTTTTTGTTTTGGCTTTGATAAACACTTGCTACATGAGTGTGGTTCAATATGCAATTATGTGAAATATTTAATCAAATGAATCTCTCTCTCCATGGGCATGTGCAAATTGATGTACTCAATAAGTATGCTGTACCTAGCTGAGGTCCTGAAGTAATAAAATGATAATGGACTTTAAACCATATCTTACAATTTTAGCTACATCCGCTCATGTTTGGTTTGTTTTCGGCTTGCATGGGCGGATTTGTTGTTTTTCTCCGATTAGATCTCCGATCTAGGTCGGTTTTGGGTTTTTCCCTACCTAGATTGGATCCTTTTCTCTTTGATTTGATCTTGTGCGGGGTTTTGTGTGTCGGAGCACCTCGTGGTTGTAGTTTTGGAGCGGTTGCCGTGATGATGGCCAAACCTTTGGGTCTCTCCTGTTTGCTGCATTTTCTCATGGTGGTTCCGTTTGCAGAGTTTTGGACTCTATTTTCTCTCCAAATTTGGAGCTTGTTATTCATTTTTTATCTATGCTTCAAGATTTGTATGTCTTTTCTGGCTTGGCTTTATGCCTCTGTACTGTCGCTTTGGCTTGGCCTTTGAGCCTTTGAATCAATGAAAAAAAAAAAAATGTTAAGAAGTGTATTTTTTTTTTTTCCCAATTTTTTGATAGGTGGTAATGAAGTGTGTATTAATAATTTAATTTATTTTTTTCGAAAAAGTGTATTATGGAGTAATAATTTTTTTTTTTTTTTTTTGAAGAAGTGTATTAATAATCATATTGTATTTATTTCGAATTTATTGTTGGATCCCTATGGCTTCCCCTTTAAGTTAAGTGGCCCCATTCATTTTTTGACATAGATTTATAATGTAAAAATTTATAATCTTAAGTGGCTCGATTTCAAAAATAGAAAGTATTACTACTATTTTGTTAAGCAATCATGAATTTTGTTGTAATTGTAAAATGAATAATTGTGAATATGTTTATCTGTAAATTAATGGCGGGGGATTGGGTGTGGGCCCCACACAATTTTTTTTCTTTTCAAATTTATCTTGATGAAAGTTGCAAATTTATTTATTTTATTTTATTTTACTTTTTATTTTTTTTGCATACAAATAGAAAAATTACTTTCAAAGGTCACAGCAATCCATCAAAATTCCAGGCTTTGCTAGAAAAAAAATTTGTTTGCTTTGACGTACATGTTTTGCATTTTAAAATTTTAAATACAAAATGTTCTACCATGACCCAAAAAAAAAAAAAAATAAATAAATAAAACATCTTTTTTAAATGTGGGTCCCATTAATTCCACGTGTCAAAATGGCATTCCACCATTGGGCTGGTAATAACCTCTTCTTGGTCTTTGTAACGTAATGATTCACTTTCAGTTTTGGGTAAAGTACGCTAAGACTGAGGTTAAAATATGCTCAATGAAATTTACTTTGTTTTTTTGACAATGAGACCTTTTTTTAAAAATTCTCCTTAAATTATAGGTAAATTACACTCACATGTCTTTTGAATTGGTCATTAAAATTTTAGTTTTAAATTTTATTTATATTTGAATGAGTTATTTAAAATTTCATTTACACCTCAAATATTAATTTTTGATTGAATCAAATTACTTTTAAATTATTAAATAACTATATTACCCTTTAACCACACATTGACTTTTTTTTGTAACCAAAGTACCCCGCACAATCACCACTGCCTCTCTGTCATGAATCTTCTCCTTAAATCATCATATGAAAAGACAAAATTACTTTTTAATATTAAATTGAGATATATTACATAATATCATAACTTGCAAAATGAAGCAATAACCCTTATTCATTTTATCGCTTCTTCCTTATTCATATGCCTCCTCTATCTGCTAACACATATATATAAACATACACGTGTATATATATATAATACTACACATTACAACACCACCACCAACACCGGCGGGGCAGGCGGAGGGGTCTCCTCTACATCTAACAAAGGGTTTAATAGCCTCCCAATGGCAGTTTTTCGCTACCTGGAAAGCTGAGAGCTACTGTTTTTCTTAATGTTTGGTGTGGCCCAGTAGAAGTTGCGGTTCGCTAATTTGGAAGAGGATCCTGCACCCCTCAACTGTAATAGTGATGGCTTGGAAAATTTTAAGCTAAACAGTAGGATGTTGATATCGGCACGGGATAAAGGCAAAGTTGAAAATGTGTAGGATGCTGATATTCAAGACAAAGCCAATAGCTTCTCTGTGATTGGAAATTCTGCAGTGCAGCGAATTGCACAAGCTTGAACAGCCTTTGGCATTGCTTTTGTAGTATACTGCTATACTGGTTCAGACCAGTTCCCGGCAAAATCTGACCTGAATTTTCCATGTATTGTTGATGTTTATGTATGCTTTAGAGACCTGAATTTTTTATGTCATCAGTTAATAATGTTGTCAATATCTGTGTCTGCTTTAGATGTCTTTCTTTACTTTAGTGTTTTACTTTCATTAATTTTGATTTAAACATGTCAGTGGGTTTGTTCTGGCTTTTGTTTTATCCAACTTAGCAATGTCTTTGTAACTCACCTTTCTTACAATTGATCTTGGAGAAATTGAAGGTTTGAGAAATTCCTGTTTATGAAATTCCTATCTGACCAGTACTTTGGAAGTTTCTATTTTTGTCACTCTGCTGTGTTCAACTTTACTTCTAGAATCGACTGCATCCCCCAACGACGACCACGCACATCACCATCCTCATCTGCGCACGAATAGGGCTCTAATCGGACTCAAATCGGACGCAGAGGCGATGGCCACTTCAGCCTTGCAGGTGACCCAATCAAAAGACTCAAATCGGACGGCAGAGGCGATGGCCAATTGAGCACCTAATCAAAAGACCCAATTTCATATTGTTTGGATTTTGAGTTGTTGGGTTTTGCTATACAAAAATTTGTGGGTATATGTGTGTAATTTGAACCCCTCTGTGTTTGTATGTATGTATATATATATATATATATAACTACATAGATATGTATGTGTGGCTTTGTGTGGTGGCGGTGGAACGGTGGAGGGGAAGATAGGTGGTGGCGGTGGCTGTGGTTGTTGCTGTCGCGGATGCTTCTGGGTCTCGCGGGGGTGTATATATATAGAGAGAGAGAGAGAGAGGAGAGAGAGGAAGAGGGCGGTGGCCGCTGTCTGGTCCATTGAGAGAGAAGAAACTTCCTTTTTTTTTTTTTTTTTTTTTTTTTTTTTTTTTTTTTGTAAGCATAAATTGTTCATAGATTGGTCTAATGTATTAAATTGTAAAATTAAAAAAATTTCTTCAAAAGTCAAAGGATTATTTGGTTAATTTTTCATATCAAGGTGTCTTTATTCATTTTTTAACCTTCAAGGGTGCCTTTATCCGAAAAACAAATAAGTTTCACCTCTGTGTGTGTCTTTTTGGTAAACTTTAGGAGATGTTGGTGTACTTTGTCCTTTTATTTATGTAAAAACTATTTGTGTAGCATGGTACATAAATAATGGTATTTGTGTGCATAATTGTGGTAAAATAGATTTATGTTGTTGTATTGGTAGTAGTACCGATTCTTTATAAATATTAAGATTAATTTCATTTATACCCTTTCAAATTTGACCAAATATTACTTCCAAATATATTTCAAAAATAACTATAATTTAAGTTCATTTCTAAATTTTTGTTAAATATTTTATTAAAGACGTGAGGAAAGACAACTTTATTCCTAATTCTTTAATCTCTTCTATTTCAAAATATCACATTAATGACCATTATACCTATACCCATCCAACCAACCCCAGGACATGGACTTTACGAAGCATCGAGTGATAGTGTTCTCATATTTTGACCACATATTAATTTTAAACATATTTTGAAAATAACTTCATTTCTAACTTTAAATATTTTGTTAAATACTTTTACCCCTAATTTTTTAATCTCTTTTATTCCAAAATATCAGATTATCTAAATGATCATTATACCTACATGCACCTACCAACCCAAACATGGACTTTATGAAACATAGGGCGATACCATTCTCATCGAATACGGCATTGCTTGGGCAAGGTCCGTTCCTATAATGCTACGTTTGGTGTGCAAGAATGAAATGGAATGCTCATTCCAACCATTCAGTTATTTGGTGTGCAGGAATAGAATGAAATGACTATTCTAATGGAGTGAAAATCCATTCCATTAGTAAACCTATGGAATAATCATTCCATTCCATAGTAAAATAAAATATTTTTGTAATATTCCCAATAAGCCCTTAATCACATTCCAATAAGGCAAAAATATTTCGCATTCACCAACAAATTTTCACATTCCATTGTTTATGTTTATCGGTTTCTTTATCAGGCGTGATAAAGGTCTTTCATCTTCCCTCTCTTTTGAATATACCCAGAGCTGCCATTGACAAAAAAGTTGCAGGACTTTTAACCAAATTACAAGTTTTAATTTCTTTGTTTATTTATTTTTGATAAGTAGGTATTAAATTTCTTTTATCTTCTGAGTATATCACTTTTTTATTTTTATTTATTTTTTTTGTATTTTTGTGTTGAAACATTTGTGTAATCATCTGCAACCAAAAGTGGACTAATTTGACTTTTGGACCCTTAGTCAAGTTCATCGTTGGATGATTGGAAAACCTTACTTGATTAGAATTTTATCAAAACTAGAATTTTCAAGAAATCTATAATAAAAAAAAATTAAAAAAAAAAAATTACACAAATACTTGGAAATATTACTAGGTTTTTTTGTTGGGTTGATAATTTATTTATTTCCTTAACTTTATTTGAGTTGATCTTATGATGCACGATTTTTTTTATATATTATTAAGATTGATATATCATTAAATATGTATATATATATATTATTTTTTAGCCTTTATATCAATTTCTTAGATTAAATATTCAATCATGGTGAGTTGGTTTAGTTATAATTTTTTTATTTTTCTTTCCTCCAATGAAAAGGGCATTTTTGAGAAAAGACATTCCCTTTCAGATTTAATGATACTCAACCAAACAATAAAATGATAATAATCATTCCATTTCATAACGATTCACCGTGTCACAGGGGCATTTGCCGAGTCAAACTCTGTATAATATAACTTCCGTATCG